AGTGTGCATGAGGCACTGAGGGCAATAGCTATAGACACACGTGCAGATGACTGACTCAGTGCAACAGGAAGCATCTTGCAGTCTGATAGCCTGTGATACGGTGGGAATGCTGAAGATGAAATCCAAGGGGCTGTTCTGTGTCCAGTAGCACAGAGAAAGAACAGGAACAAGACTGCCAGGTAACTCACCAGTAACACAGGAATCCAACTTCTGATCATCAGTTAACAATAAACTGAAGTTAAGAAGTGGGATGAAAAGGTAGAGTTATCAGGGCAAAGGAATGCTTCCATCTTTCCCCTACATATCTCCCTGCACACTGTAAAGGACAATGGTACATGCAAGAAAATGGGTCTTGACTGTGCTCTGCTTCTGAATTGCCTTCACACAGTTTCTCCCTGCTTTACAGCAAACACTTCACTGTACACGGCACCGCTAATAGAGCACAACTCCACCCACCTATCCAAACTTCTCTCTCTCTAGTCAGATTTTCTGAAAATTTCAAGAAAAGTTTTATTGAGTGCTGTGTTTTAGTATTCCATACAAATACATATGTCAGCCCAAAACGCACACACTACACCTTCATCCACCAGAAAAAATAGAAGGTGAGAGACTCGTCTAGATTCCCCTATTCCTCACTTTGTTTCTGGTCACTCACTTTGTTACTGAAATTTAGAGCTCCAAAATGGTCATGTAATCAGTCACCTGTTCAACTGCACATTAGCTCTTTCTGCATTATTTATTACTAACATGATAATATTAGTAGGTTGTTAATAATTTTCAAAGCAAATTTCCTTACTTCTACCTTATACCTCCTTTATTTAAAAGCTCACATTCAGAAAAAAAATCCATGCAATACTGCTGTAGTTTCAGTGCTTCACATGCAACCAGCAAGTGCAATATTAGAACATGTGGTCCAGAGAGGAATGGGCCAATGCTAACACTTCTGAGTTTAGAGTAGCAGATTTTATTTCATTTGTATTTGAATTTGCTGAGTCAAGGGCATAAAAAGTAGAAGGAAGTAGCCTTCTCACTTTCCCTTCACAGCTGTTAGTTTTCTTTTTTCAGGAGCAAACTACTGGCGGGAATAGAGGTCCACCTCCACATGTTTGCAGCACTGGAACTGGTTTTCAGTTCCAAACTCACAATTTAGATTAAATACAGTATATCACCTATTTTCACATGTAACTTTAAGGGAGGATGATGTACATAGATTATAAAACGGAAAGCACAAAAAAGTGCCTGCAAGATCAAGCAATTTATTTAGGCCTCTACAGGAGAACGAAAATCCTGTTTAGAGCTTCCCACAGTGAAATAAACTAGCAACCAGCATTTACTGCCTTCATATTTCTCTGGTTTATTTTGCATACAGAGATGAGCCTGGATTTATAAGGTACAATAACCTGGATAAGATGATAATTCTTTTAATTATTTGAGTAGTTTAATGAGAAGCAGCTGTCACTCCCTTTTAATCCTTTACACCTATACTTCTTCATGCTCAAAGCTTTAGTATGGTATCTTACATAATACCTGTAGATTTGCTAATCCTATATTATTAAAAGCTTCACTTTTTAACTGTTGTCTTTGTGAAATGTGAACAAGTTGTGTTGTCATGGATATATAAAGATTAGGGAAGAGGTAAAACTATCAAAAAATCTGCATGCATAAATAACCTGACTCACGACAGCCTTTTTTCCCCTACATGCGATTTTACAAATGCAGCGGCACTATTGATGTATTTAACAATCCAAAACATTTGCTCTATCTGAAATGCATCTTCTACAGTTGATAATATTACACAAGCTCACTTAAGTGCCCACAAAACACCGACAAAATGCAGCTTCTGTACTCAAGTTCTTTTTCTGTTTACAAACATCTTGTTTGTTTGCGTTTCAAGCGTCAAGTTATGTATGACTTTCAAGTAGCTGGACTTCCTTCTTCCTCCAGCTGATATCCAGTCTACCCTCCAGTCTGTCTGTTGACAGACCAAACAAAATACTTTTCCATCATTCATTTCTATCATACATTCTATTCACAACCCAATTTTACTTCAGACAAGATAAACCTTTAAACAGTCAAGACAACATACAGAAGGGAAAAAAACTTCCACTGTTTGGTGTGGGTTACACAGTTGGTATTAACACAGACATTAACAACCTTCTCCTATGCCCCCCAGACAGATTTTGACACTACCTCTAGTACTATTCTGACTGTCAACTTAACCTGCACAGTCATCTGCTAAGTGATCAAGTTTAGAGATGTTCTAAACAGCAAAGGCAAACAAATTGTTTGCCTCACCTACCACCATCATCAATCATTAACTTGGCTGATCAAAGAAAAGATCTGGGGGTAATGAGAGCTGAATTTCCAAAGGATGTCAAGGAAAGGAAATGGAAGAAACCCAAAAATAATGGCCAAAAGAATTTCTGTTAGAAAAGATTTCTGGCCTTTTAAAAAACCTGAAAATTATGAAATTCAAACTAACTGTACTATTATCCACATTAATATACTAAACACTCTATCATGTGCACAGCCTGCATTTCAACAGATACATCTGCAGATTATCAGAATCTAGGTGGTGGCAACACACTGGATCAATCTGACTACACTGAAAAAATAACAGAAAAGCATTGTGCAATTTTTAAAACCTTTATGGAGCACAAAGCACATTTTACTATTATTATTTTTTAAAACATTTAAATGACAAAGGAAATGCAAAATAGCCATGAGTTACTAAGAGAATGAAATAACCAAATAAAATTTAGAACATAAAACGCTGCTTCTTCCACAGAAACATCAGCTTCCGCATGCAAAAAACAGAGAAAATGCGGTAGAGGCTTGGTCTACCGTGCCTCGTGAAATATTTTCATGAGTAAGATGAGTTAGGAAAACCAAAGAAGTATTAAAAAAATTTGTATGTGCTCAGCTGAAACAGAAAAATGAATTACATAATGCATCAGTAATGCTTACAGAGGTCTTCTGACATATCTAATTGTGAAGAAACAGTACCTGCAATGTCAAACGCTTTGAAATGTTTGGATTAGGTGACATACCAACTTTTCTAATATGCACATATAGCTACTTTCCCAGGCACCTTATTTTGGTATCTCCTACATACTGCTTATTCCAAGTCACTTGAATTCTGAAAGCTGCTTTTAGTCCAAGAAACAGAAAATCCTCCTTAAACCCAATGAAGTTTCCCTCCTCCACAGACTTCTACTGTGTGAACCCATGCTGGCTATGACCTAACTCCAAGAATAACCTTCATAATTTTGCCAGGCACTGAAGTGAGACAGACCTGTAACTGTCAGGGTCTTACTACTTTCTCCTCTTGAAAACTGGAACAATCTTTGTCAGCTTCCAGTTGACTGGGACCCTCCAGAGTTCAAGCCCATTGAAAAATAATAGAGAGAGGTGGTGGTCTCAAAGTGTATCGAAGTGTGAGACACACTCTCGCCTACCTCTGCATTAAGCACCTGAGATTCTCCTCACTTGGTCCTGAAATGCCTTGGACTTCTAAGCAGCTTGGAAAGTAGCATTAAAATCCCTCAGATCTGTGTCAGTACCTGAATAGTAAGCTTTTTGATACACCGAGTTTCGCAAATCTGTTCCAGAAGAACAAACTCTTACCCTGTGATTTCTCCATCTTGGAGAAAGGTCACAAACACTAAACAAGTTCAAAGTTTACTCATCAACTGCTGAAAATTCTGGGCTGCTTCAAGTTTGGCTATTTTATCAAATGAAGGAGACCTTTACAAAAATCAAGTAAGATATTTTCAACAGCAAGAGGAAGGATAGAGGAAGGTTTTCTGTTATAAGACTGTTCAGAAAACAGTGATGATGAAATCTGGGTTTAATAGAAAGCATTAGAAAAAATCCACGCAAACACTGTATTACAATTACAAAAAATGCAAAAGTAAAATATCCCAAAACTCCTGCAAACTGGTGCTTGGTAGTGGAAAATGATTCAGCATAGCGATTCTTTCGATGCTTATTTCAAAAGTCCTCTCTGCAATGTTACAGACAGATACAGCACTGGTTGAAGCGACAACAGGGTACAGGGTCCTGCAGGTGTACTGACATCTCCTTCTCTATTCAGACATTACAGAGAAATGAAACTGCTGTAGAGCTCAGTGTGGGAATTTTGTTTCTCTTGCTCAGGTTGGGAAGAAATGGGATTACTAGTGGTTTCCTGCTTTCCTCGTTGACCCGCCCTGCAGTAAACCTCCATCTATGAGGACTGATAGGCATTTCACTCACTGGGGGGCACTTGGGGCTCCTAAGAAGTCACATGGGTTCTTCAGGGCTATAGTGGCTAACACTGTAGTTTAAATTTACCACAGAACAGCACTTTTACAAAATGCAATGCAGTATGCTCACTAATTTGTAAAAACACATCAGCCCACTATATTATTCATATATATTCATATTGTATATCATTAGCCTATTCGTAACACTACTGCTGACAAAAATACTCTGCTATCCAATTCTCTTTCTTTTCACTTATCATCTGAATTTTTAAAAAATATTTTCACAATTAATAGAGTTTTACAATTTCACAGTACAAATTTTTTTAAAAAATTCTAGCCTATTTGGTTATCCACATAAAATCTGTCTAGTGCACTTTGGGAGTCACAGGGTGGGAAAGGTAAAGGAAAGGGAACCCAGTATCAAAAATATCTAGAAGTTTCAGTCTTCTAGATTTAAAGAAAAGTGGGACATTCAACCAGAGTTCCTTAACATAAAACAAGATTTTCTAAGGAAAATAAGATATTTTTCACTGTAAAAAGGCAAAATCTATGCCCCTTATTTTCTTTACTTCCAAGTTTTTCCAAGGTGGGAAAAAGCATACTTTTGTATAATGCTGAAAGGTTGAACTTTTACACACAGTAGGCATCTCAGCATACCTCCTGAATGGCTGTCATGACAACATGCTGAACTGATTCTTCCATCATCATTATGGTCTGGATGTACTCTGAAAATAAAAACATTCTGAAATGTCATTGCTGAAACTCAAATAACTGAACATCAGATCAGAAGCTGGGTCCTTCCTACAAAATGACTAGGTGGATGACACTGAAATGCATAATCATCAGTCAAGTCCCACCCCAACAAACTTCACAGGACTTTATCAGAACTCTGTTCAGACATAAATACAGGTTTATGTGGACTCCACAACAATGAAAAAAAGAACATGATTACCTTTTTTTTTTCCTTCTGGCATCTCACACTTCTGAAATAACTAATTTTACTTCTTTTCTCACTTTGTTCCCAAGCTATTCAGGCTCTTCAAGTACACAATCCATGCACAGATTGTCCTTTTCCATGAGTATTAATAACAATGTCCTGCCTTCCTTCAGCATCCTCATTTCAAAGCATTTTCATATCCACTCTTGGTTTCTGTTCTTGTTTCTGTGCTGTATCACAAATAAATCCCCTCTACTTTTTCATTCCTTGCCTATATGTAGATGTGAGGTAAACAACAGGTACCTTTGAAGATGATACAGCAGTCAGAAGGACAAATTCTGACATTTAGACTAAGTCAAGGAGCTAATGACTTGCCCAGAATCATATGCTTTCCAGTCAGATATGATCTCCTTTACATGTGACCTGTATTCCTTTAACGATGTGCTCAAGGGAAGGATGCTAGCAAAAAGCCACCTGGAAGTGGTTCATTAGCTCATGCCAACATAGAAGTAGACTGTTTTGATAGTTCAGATATACATTTCTAATGTCCAGCCTGAAAGAGTAAAGCAGACACAAGACATGCTTCCCACTTGAGAATGCAAACAGTCACCAAAAGGAAGGAATATAAATTTACATAAGAGAGGACAGGAGGCTTAGCAAACCAGTGTTATTTATGTAATCATGGAAGAACATTACCTCTATTTTAATTAACAGAATAGCCAGACCATCTCCTGATTAAGAGACTAAAAGTAATTTCAGAAGGAGAAACTAAAGTGATTTAGTCACTTGAGAAAACTGGAAAGGGAAAACTAGTTATAAAAGCTAAGATGCAACATGCTAGAGGAAGACAAAAGGTCTGAAACCAAAATGAGCTAAATCAGAAAGAGAGATATAATTGATGTAACTTTAATGTAAGTACACTAAACACTCTTATTTATCCACACGTGTATCATATACACAGGCCTGTGTTTCTCATTTTAAGTGTTTAGAATTGTTTCCTGTTTTAAGTGCTTAGCATAAATGTTTGCAGCTGCTTTGTTACCTTAATCTGTCTTACGTGAAATTTAAGGCAACTGCGTAACAACTGAGTGCCAGCACACAAGGCAAGTTTAGAACATGAGATGCAGCATGGCATGCTTTAACAAACATCTCTGTTGTTCATCACATCCTCTGCAGCATCTTCAAGAAAAATGAATGGGTCCCTATTGTACCTGTGCAGGTCAGAACGACAGTTAGTGCCATGGGGGTCAAGAGAGGCCTTTTCAGAGGCTGCTGAAGTGGGATTCAATCACCTGGCAGAAGTCTTTAGTGACATTTTGAAAGTCCTTAGGGTACTATGCTTTGTCTTCAGCTGCTGTCCAGAAGGGCATGGTTGCCAGCATTACTTTTTCCTATTTGCCAACCCCATGCCAACCCCCAGAAATTACAATATCCCAGATCATATCAAACATATCTTTTTCAGACTAAACACCAGTCATACTGATGGTTTTTGACCATGTAGTAAGATGACCAGAATGCATTCCTAAAATCTGTAGTCACACAGAATAATCCAACAACTGCATTTTTCCATTCTTAACTATCCTCATCTAACTCATAAATTGTTACAAGGTGAGCCTAAGAATTTTCCTTTCTAGAGTGATTTTTTAGCTCAGCAAAGCAAAATTGAAAACATGTATGCTGGAAGCAAAATCAATTCCACAGATGAGTCCCTAAAACTACTGAAATTTATAATAAAACAACAGTTACTATCTGTAGAACAAAGCAATGTCATCATCAAAAAAGCCCAAACATATGTCTCTGACAGCAACCTCAAAAATACAATTTTTCCCCCTAAGGAGTTACATAACAAATGAGAAAACATGTTTATTACCTTGCTTCTGTTCACAATTGACAGCACATCCCAAGATAAGCTGAAGCATTCTCCCAAGCTCTGCAGCATCAGCATGTTCTCCAATCAGGTTAACATCAGGAAGGGTGAAGTCATCTATCTCTTGCCCCAGAATCTGCATAAAGACCCAGTACAGACATGTCTGTATCACCGCACATACACATCTGCATGCACTTCAAAATACAGTGATGATTCAGAATCGACAAGAGCAATTCACTCTTACTTTAACATATTAAATCCATCTTTAAAACAAGCAAACCCCCCCCAAACCTTTAAAACAAATTGCCTAACACCTAACATCCAAATGTTAAATCATACTGTTTCATACAAATAGTATTTGGGAGCAGACAAACATGACTCTCTCAACTCACAAGAAGGTATTTTTCTTCAGCTGAGAAAGGTAACAAAAGCAGACCACCACATGGATAATGACTTTTCTTTTAAAGTCTTCCATTAAAAAAATCCAACACCTACAAACACATTGTGTAACATAAAGTATTATATACAAATCTCACATCTTACTACTAGAAAGCCAAAAAAATAACTATTTCACCTATACAATATATAGGTCTAACACTGACACATGACAAATACAAGACAGTAAAAAAGTTAGCTCACTAGGCCTCACACTTTTAGCAAATTTGAGGATATTTGGCAAGCCTCAGAGCTAAAAAAGCTAGTTCCATGGAACAGAATCTGAGGTAGCAGTACAATGATATGTAATTTAACAGCCCACACACAGAAAGAAAGACAAAATCCCACAAAACAAAAGCCCATGTGACTCACAATTAGTGTTATCTGATTTATCATTAAGGATCTACTTAATGATTGTCACTAGAAGAAATTAAACAATTCTGCTAAATTGGTCTTTATTGAACAAAGGGTTGAAAATATGAATACGAAATTTGGAATTTAACACATCTCTGACACATTAATTGCAGATATAAAGAAACCAACTTCTTAACCAGGGTGCAATAAGGAAATGATGACTACAGAGGGGATCAGTCATTTGTTTGCTCATGTCCTTTTTGTGCAATATTCAAGAAAACCAGAAATCAGATAAAGGTATTTCTAAAAAACATGTAAGGTGTATGTCAAGAATGCAAAGAAATCAAGCCATTCAAAAGTGTACTAGGGTTGTGCTTTGTGGAATTGTTCTGGTTGAGTTTGTTCGCCTTATGTATTGTGTTTTTTGTGTTGTGGACTGTATTTTTTTAAGTTTTCTCAAAAAATTATCTTCAACACTACTAAAAATCTCTGCCTGCTTGAAAGGGTACAGATTTACTCTTGTTGGAGGACACTTCCTTTAGGTCATTCTAGTGAGAAAATAAGAATTCTGTGAAGGCATCAAGCACAACAGAAAACTTCACCATTGCGTGCAGACTGCGATAGCACAGTAAAATTCAATATTCTTTGAATCATGCTAATCGGAGATGTAATTTATATACTGATCCTAAGTTCCTGAATTTCTTTCAAATATAATGCTGGATTTAAGTTAATAGTGCTATAATGGCTTCACAGTTACTGACAATAAAGTGCTGCTGAGGAAAGCTGAAGGGAAGAGGAACTCCAGCAGGCACTATGAAGAAGCCATGGATGTGAAGGTGTAAAAAGAGGATTCCAAAATAAACAGAACAAGAAATTAAATTTAAAGAAGCCACCAAACAACCTGAAAGAAATATTAAAATGAACGACAGACCCTGCTATAACTACCTTGAGATGAAAAAGAACATTTAACTCTTGTTCAAAACCGCCCCCCCCCAAAAAAAAACCTTTATAAAAAAAATATTTGTCAATTCCAGAGCAGCAGAGTTTTGCAGCAACATTACTGGGGCATAACAAATCATGCAAGCTATAAATAGTTAGCTTTGGTTTCTTGTTCTTCCATACTATAATTGACAAAGACAGCAATGCAGAATAGCTATTGAAGGACTGTACTCCTGAATGTGACACGGATTTGTAAGGATGAACAACATTAACATATACGTTTTTCAAAGGCTTTTAGCTACGTCAGGTAAAATCCACATACATTCACATCTATGTCTTAGTAGAACATAACTGCTAGGAGAGGGAATCAGGCTGAGGAAAACATAACCAGGATTCATAGTAGAATCCAGATCATCTCCATTATCACCACCAGCACTGCCTCAGCAGAAAAGAATAGAAACTAAATCAAAATCCTGTCAGATTTATAAATGTGCATTACCTTTGTAGAACTGAATCAGCTTGAAACAGCTCAGAACTTGCCTACTAGTGAAGTTTTCACACCAGAGACTTAATCATTATACATAGTAACCAGCCAAAAAGAAGCTGGCATCATTTGTTTTAATTTTCTGTAACAAAAAACCAACTTGTTTCTTTCTAGAATCTTCAGTTATGACCAGCTTGCTTAACCATTAATTTCCAACATTGATTTCAACATGGATGCCTGACCATTTACTGAATATGAGTTCATAAGTCCAACTTTTCCTTTCTGAAAGAAAGACTTCAGTTTATTAACAAGTAACTTAATCTCTGAACTATTTATGAAAAGCTAGTATTTTGAGACAAGCGGTATCCTGAACATACATATGATAAATTTTGTGCTATGGCCAGAACAGATCAATTTGACTCAAAAAACATGAATGAAACTGAAAGCATAGTTCAGCTGAAGATTCACCACTTCAAAAATATACTGCGTTCTGTCTCCTCCGAAGTGACTCATTTCTAGGTTTGCTCAGAATAAGAGAGAATGCCAAGGGCTGACTCCAGTATCTCAGCTTTCAAAAATTCAATTTAAAATCTAAATGTTCTTTACTCTCCCAAGGGAAAAATAAAGAAAAAGGCAGACTTTAGTTGCAGAGGAGGAGGGGATAAATATGATCAAACAAAGGTATTGTTAAAGTCCATCATCAGAACACAGTCAGCAAAGCCACCTACTGTTTGTATGACAGAAATTGCACATCAGGCATCTCTGGAGCCTCTGAATATTCAATACAGCAGGTAAGAAGGCATAGGGAAGGCTAAGACTATGGAATAGGCCATAAAACACTAAGTATGTCAAATAATTTGCAAGAAAACGTCAGAACTTAACCAGTGGAATGCAATTTACCTTCAACAGGTTAACTAAAACATGTAACTAGAAAGGCATGCAGATGTAGATTACTTAAAATGGTTCTTACCTCATGATTGTAATCCAATATTCCTTTCAAAATTTTCTTCAAGTTGCTCACCTATTTGACAAGAAGACGGAAATACAATAAATATAGGGAACAAATTACAGAAAAATATAGTAAAGAAGGCAATCACAGGAGAATCACTCAAAAGAAGCACACAATTACATCTACATGCCCAATGACTTTCTGTTTGAGCAATTATATTCAGAATCATGAGAGTTATGCAATAGTCCCTTATGATCAGACTTCCAGACGTGATCACAAATCTTTATCAATTGACAGAACTCATTTAAATTTGTGAAAAACATCGCATCATCTTGGATAGGCTTTAGATCAGATCCAAAAGCACCAATCTTTCTTGAAGGTATTCATTTATCTTAGGATAATCTTTGCATGCAGAAGCTGAAACACTGTTTTCCTCCTTTCTTCCCAGAAACTACCCTAGTAATCTGCTTCCAGCAAAGAGAAACCTCTTCCTCCAAACCAAAACCAGCTACTGCTCAATATCCTCCTTTATTCCCAACCTATGTAAGCTTAATTTGTTATCATTCTCATTAATTATTCCTCTTAGTTCTTCCATTTTTTGTCGTTCTCTTCCCTACCCGATCCTGCCCCCCTCCCTGTTCTTACAATTGAATGTCTGTGTTACAGCATCAAGGCAAAATTCACATTTCTCAGTGATGACTTCACTGCTATACAAAGGTAGCTTCTGTTCACTTGCATAACCAATGGCACCAGTTAAGTGTCTTCTGCTGTACAGAATCTATGTCACATCTCTCTAGTACTGAGTATTGCTCCCTTTCCAGCAAAAATCCATTTGCATCAAGGCTCTGAACAAAGAGTGTGTTTAAAATTATATAAATGCCCACTGGGTCTCAATGGTGATATTTACAGAAACAAAAGAGAATCTTTGCCCAAAGTAACAGCTACAGATTACCACCAGTTAATGTCCAAATATTTAAGCAAAGAATTTAGATAATAGTAGCAGTGCACTGTTTCCTGGGACAAATAAGCAGCTGAGGGTGCTGGGGGTGTTTATCCTGGAGTAAAGGAAGCACAGGGAGGACCTTAACACTTTCTACAACTGCCTGAAAGGAGATTGTAGCCAGGTGAGGGTCGGTCTCTTCTCTCAAGTAACAAGAGACAGGACAAGAGGCAATAGCCCGAAGTTGAGCTAGGGGAAGTTCAGACTGGATAATACAAAACATTTGCCCACCAAAAATCAAACACTGAAATAGGATGCTCATGGAAGTGACCGAGCCACCACCCATGGAATGTGCAAAACACTGTGTAAGAAAAGTGTAGAGGTGGCACACTGGGACATGGTTTATTGGTGGACTTTGCAGTACTAGGTTTACTGTTGGATTCTATGATCTTAAGGGTCTTTTTCAACCTAAATGGTTCTACGACTCTATGAAGTCTAAACAGGATCTGCAAAGACTGAAAGTGGTTGAATTATGATTCACAAATTCAATTAGGATTCATGAAATTCTGTTGCTGATCACAGTAGCCACAGTGGCAAACTGTGGAACTATAACAAAGGGAGAGCAAAAACTCTCAAGTTCCAACTGCCTTTAAAGTCCACAATAACATTCTCAACCACATTCCAAAAATACAGTTACGAGATCCTATGTACTGACAGGAGTCATTTACCTTTCAAACAATCTGATGAAGTGCTGTTAGGAAACATGAATCCAGAGACAAACTCAACACTTCAAACACAGTCAACAAACAAAATGAGGTGCTGAAAGCAAAATCCAGTCCCATCTTTAAGAAAAACTTAAGAAAGGAACAGGCTACACACACACACTACAAGATTTTCATCATGAAATCCAAAGCAATAATGATCAATTATTACCTTACTCATATTAATCCACTCCCTTTTGGAAACAAGTGCCAGAAGTTGACACCTTATTAAGATACAAGAATATTCTGATTGTCTTCATAATCACTGACTTTTAAGTCATACAAGAAACAAAAATTTACTTGGACTTGAAAAGTGATACATCAAATACCCTAACAATGTAGAATGAGAACTGGAGATGCTACATTACATCAAGTCCATAACAACATTTACTGTCCATCCCGTAACAGCGTAATAATTACTTTACACCTTCTACCTCAAAGCACATACTTCTGTACCATTACACGTAACACAGCATGTTTCTGTATGACTCACAACTATCTCCTAGCTGTCTGCCCTAAAGCAATCACCACCACCACTCAAAAGCAATGCACAATCATAGCCAAAGTCTGCAACAGATTGAAGAATTTAAAGAAATCTAAGTAATTTTATTTTCATGGCAAATCACCACATAGAATACTGCACTGATTGGAATGTAATTTTCAAACTTGATTCTTTAAAATTTTCTGATTTGTAATTTACCTGAGTCCGCTGCTGAAAGAGCCACAGAAATGCAAAGGCCATGTTGCAGAATTTAAGTCCAGTTTACCGATGAGAACATTGTGAAGAACCTTGAACTTGAACATAATCCCAAAAATATGAGAAACAAAATGGAAGGTATCCCCTTACACAACACTTCTTTCCTCCCTACCTTGTAAGCATTTTTGAATTAAAATCCCTTAAACACAAAGAGCCATCTTCCTCCACATAACTTACATAAAGCTTAGAGTTGAGACGCTGGAACAAAATCAATACTGATTGAAATCTGTCAAGAAAACTTGCATACAGGGCAGCATCCTCAGGAAAAAAATACAGCAAACAAACTGAAAAATAGATCTTGTCTTTATCACCTATTTTATTCCCCTGTTCATCAACAGTACTAGGGTAACTTTCATTCAAAAATTAACTGTACCATCTTTGTATCTGGCACACAATCAGACAATTATAAGGCTAAAGTAGCTTCTTTATAGACTGGCTTAAACTTAACAACGATAGTCAGTATTACTCAGAGGGCTCTCAATTTTTAAGGTTTTTTTTTTTACTTATTTGGAGTGAACATACTTAGATGCTTCTACTGCCACTGGCAGAGAAAGAATCATCATAGGGAAAATACCACAAACGTTTTGTAGTTTGAGATTCAAGTCAGTACCTCCAGTAATATTTATGAGGTCATAGCACAAGGAAGGAAGACTTCAAACAGCTGAACAAAAATGAACAGCCTAAGAAAGTGTTAAAGACAACCAATTAGATCAGAATTCCAAATCACAGCAGGTGGTGATTGTTCAAAAGTATTTTTCTCTTTCTTAAGCACATAGGGAAAACCTAACTGTAGTTAATAAACACCATTAAATTATGCAATTTAAGATAATAAGATAAAATAAGGTAATAAGATAGAATTTCCCGTACTGATCACAGCTACAAAGTACTATACCATCCCTTGGGTACCTGCCCATGACCACATGGGATGCCTATTTGCTTTCACCAGCAAACTGACCTCCTCCTTTTCCATACAAAGCACACCACTACCATCCCAACCCCTTTAATACCCATTCCCTGCGCCCATACCTCTGTTGGAAAAGACATGAAACCTACTAGGATAAAATAAGGTACCAAACATGCTTGGTTCCACCACACAAACTGTTGCAACTCACAACAGGTGGACCATTAAGTATTTCTAGAAAGATCGCTATCCATTTTCAATCTCTTTTTCCACCTGTTCTATTTCCTCAATCTCCTATTACAAAGGACAGGATACCTGCTTTGAGGTAATGCATCCACAAAGGCAACCTTCATGTCATGATTCCTTCACTGAATGCCTAAACTTCACTCACATACACAGCAGAGCTGTGTGGGCGCTCTCTGTGTTAAATTATCATCACCCTCTCAGTTAACAGCCATCCTGGCTATAGTACAGCACTACACACCTAGCACAGTGCTCAGTGTGAGACTGACACTTACTACACAGCATTAACCTGATAAAACGACTGGAATGAAAGCAGAGATTATGTGACCTGGCAACACCACACAACAACGTATGCTCTTCTTTCCTCCTATTTTTCTTTTCTTCTCTTCTCACCTGTCAAATGAAACCTCTATTTATGTATTTACAATTTACTTTCTGTTTCCAACCTCAGGTCTGTAAGGCTTGTTTGTCTGGACATTGCTCTTTATGAATATAGTCGTGCAACAAAGGGACAGTCTGAAGAAGCAGACAGCAGAAAGTGCCCTTAAGCCAGCTCAGGCTATCCAACCTCATTATTTGCCTAACATTATGACAGCCAGTCCCCAATTCTGCATTATTCTTGTATCACATGTATGACTGAAATCCTCCTTGTGCTGAAGACTGTGACAACTGACTGGTCTTTGTGTATTTCAAATCCTGAATGACCTCTGAAAGTGTTGCTAAGGCACAATTGCAAGTAGTGAGAGAATCCTTAATTAGTAAGCTTCAGATATCTCATTAAGGTACATTCTTCCCATCTGCACTTAAAAGGGATGGGTGAGGGGAGGGTGGGTGTGAGGGTGTGTGTGGGTGTGCAAAGGAGAGGAGGGAGCATGTGCATGCATTGTTTGCTTCCTTCCCAACACAGACATTAAGTTTCTGATCTCAACTGAATTCTGCAGGAGCCTGTCTCTTCACTGATTATAGATGGGACCTAGAGAAGGACTACACTATTAGCTTTGGGGATTATGCCCATTCAAACTGCCTTCTACCAAACCAAAAAAAGAATCTCCAAAAGAACATATACAGATACTTCCTTGAGTTAAAGAATAGGAAAGAAAAATTAAATGTGGCTCTGAAAATAGAGAGCATTCCCACATTCAGCTTATATTTGGAGATGTTGTTGACTTAGGAATTAAGGGTATATCAAAAGATAATTAAATATATCAATTGCTAATTGGGTTTTTGACAGAAATGAATGCTGGCTTACAATATTCCTATAATCTCTGCTTCTTGCTTGCAGAAAAAAAACATTCACATGACAGGCTTCCACCCCGATCAGATAAAAACCCTCTAACAGGCTGCTCATGTGTAAGTGCTCCCTTCCCTTGCAAGAGAATAATAAAGCAGTAGAAAAATTATAAGGTACACTGAAAACTACCTTCCATTACTCCACCAGTCACATCAGTTTGTACTGTACAAGAACTTAGAGCAAGCATAACTGTACTACTGCAAGCAGTCAAAATTCAATCTCAAAAATCAGGTTTGTTTACATAAGATTACAGCATTCATTGGTTATTCCATTTTGCCATGCTGTACCAAACACAGTATTTCAACTGTACTGGCTGCAGAAAGTCTAGTGGCTCCTGCTGTTTGAATGTGCTATTCAGTAATGGAACAAACACAGCTTGCTCCTATAAACATTAATAAAATTGCGCTTTAAACTGATGCTGTAGTTTGAATGCCAAAGTGTATAGTGCAGAAGAAAAAGTCAGAAATCAAGCTGAACAATGTATTTCCTTTTCCTCCCAAGCTTCCCACGCTGAATGGAAGGGGTAAAAAAAATTAAAATGGCAGTCTTATCCGATCCCTCAGACAGTCAACGACTTATGCTGTAATTGCCAAAACTGACATGTGTGTATCAAACCAGTAACTTGTTTCTTGATTAGGGAATTTAATTCCTGCAAAATTCTGGCACCAGAATTATTTTCTATGCTGTTTTCCATTTTCAACAAAGGTTTTATGCTCAAGATGTTGTCCTCTTCAGCATGACATACCAGGTTGCACACAATTTAAACTCTGACTATACTAAAGTGTTCAGTTGTATGTCACGAAAGAGATAAAGTCTTTGTCATTTTTTAACTGCAATTTTATGATGGTTAAGGCAGCAGTAAAAAGTAAGGTTTTTAGTTTCCCAAGGGAAAACAAACTTATGTACGATGATGTATGCTATGCCACAGAAATTTTAACCCTGAAGAAGTAACAATGTGTTTCTCTACTAAACACAGATGAAGATCCAGTTAGCTGTAAGAACCAGAATGTTTGCTGAATGATTCCTACTTTGCAAGTCCCCTGAGTTTTAACACCTCCCTTTTTCTATCCTGTGCACTCCTCAATCTCTCAAGTCTGGCAACTTGCCCCGAAACCAAGAATATAAAAACCTGCCTGTGAATTTATACATTCCTTTTAAACTGGTACACCAACAGGAAAACTATTTTTAACAACTGCATTACTGCAGTCACCAGACAGTGAAGTGCTAAACAAAAAAAAAACAAAAAACAATGAAAGCTGAGCCACGTATTATTTATTTGCCACACAGGACATCACACAATTTAGAATTAACAATCACATCACTTGTACCTGTCAACAGGAGAAGAGGAAATGGCCTCAAGTTGTGCCAGGGGAGTTTTACATTGATACTAGGAAAAGAATTTTCACAGATGGGGTTGTAGAGCATTGGAACAGACTGCCCAGGGAAGTGGTGGAGTCTCCATCCTGAAAGTGTTCAAAAGATGTGTGGATATAGCACCTGGGGACGTGGTTTAATGGTGAACATGGTGGTGGTGCTAGGTTGACAGTTGGACTCAATGACCTTAAAGGTCTTTTCCAACATTAACAATTCTATGATTCTATCACTTCTTTCTGAGTACTTCTATAAACAGTGGTTAGGAGGGCTGTATCTGGCCCTCCTAACCAAAGTTCCACAAAGTATAACTACCTGCATGTTACATTTTTCTTTCTTTTTACATATTTCACCTACTAGACTGGTGGTTCATAATACTGAGAGCTTGTACAGGTGGTTGCTATTATACCATATGGTATCAAAGGCGAAGAGGGACCATGTTTAGCAACAAGAACATAATTCAGCTCATTAACACAACCTGTGAGCCAGTGAGATAATCCAATTATTATTTATCATGGCGCTTCTTAAAACACGAAGGGAAATCTGTATTATAGAATCATGGAAGCATGCTGCCTGCATCTTAAATCTAGTAATGAACGCATGTCTAAAAGGATGTTGTAGTGAGGTCGGGAGTCAGTCTCTTCTCCCAATTAACAAATGACAGGATGAGAAGAAATGGTCTCAAGTTGTGCCAGGGGAAGTCTAGATTGGATGTTAGGAATCATTTCTGCACCTTAAGGGTTCTCAAGTATTGGAACAGGCCGCCCAGAGAAGTGGTGGAGTTCCCATCCCTGTAGGTACTTAAATCATGTGTAGACATGGCACTCAGGGACATGGTTTAGCAGTGGACCTGGCAGTGCTGCGTTAACAGTTGGACTCAATGATCTTAAAGGTCCTTTCCAACCTAAATGATTCTATGAATAGAAATGCCAGAGTATAAATGACAGATTGGCTGACAGACATTTGAAAAACTAGACTACTAATAATGTTTACTCACATATAAAGAACAGTTGGCAAAGTCTAGGATTAATTTCCTGGTTACAAAACAGGAGTTAAAGTATCACACTTATGCCTTCTAGTATTCTTCATGTAAAGGGAGGTGGTATGTAAAATTTTATACAAAAAGAGGGATTGTGCATAATTTTTAAACAAAAAAGTAATCAGTCTTTAGCTCTTGTTTACAAGGATACATGAATAACAAGATGGAATAACATCAGCAAGAAACCAAAATTTGATCTGATGTTTTTCCAACCTCAGTCACATAAGGAATTTACTAGGTAGCTCAGATTTTTTTTTTTCCACACCTGCTAAGCCTTAGCATCTGCCAAATTGATGGGAGAGATATAAACACATTTATTTCTCAAGGTCCATATGAAAGTTACTGAAGCTCCTGCCCTGTTGAAATGCCATTATAACAAAGAGTTCTCAATATGTTGTTCTCCAAACTTAACAGCCAAGACTTCAATATTCCTCAGAAAAAAACCCAAAGAAATGTTTTAGAGAAAAGTAAAACCTTGTATCCAGGTGTTCACTTGCTATTTTATATGCTTCCTTGAAAAGCTCATTTAAATTAACTGCTCAACATGCAGCAGAACTAAAGAGAGTTTTAAAGCTTTTTTAGGGATTATCTCTTTTATTCACCAGTCAGTCAATATATCCTCATCAACGTACCCACATTTTTGCTGGCAGCCCTAGTAGACACAACATTCTAAAGCATTCCAGACTTGCACACAGCTGGCCAGACAGCAGGGACCACGCTGGCCAAGTGAAAACATACACAGCAGCAGTGTGCTCCTTCTTTGTCTCAGGCAGCACTCCCTCTGTGTCCTTTCAATTGCCAACATCACACAGCAAGTGATGCTGACAAGCCTGTAAATACTAGTTCATTTCACAGTCATAGCCATTCTCCAGATGCTCAGAACAGGTTTTCATGGCTGGAACAAAACTGTTTTATAGGAAACAAACTAAGAGTCAAACCATAAGTATTTTGGTTCCCCAATTAGTCAGGCAGAAAATGGACATTTAGAAAGGTGCATTGATCATTCCCTGACCAAAACTAGTCAGAAACTACACTAACATCTGCATGTGAAACTATGTTCTTCAGGTTCTATAAAGCAGAATGTTCCTCAGCCATAGTACTGTAAATTTTATTGCCTTAAGGTTTGAAGAGAAAGTACTAGAATACCAAGAGATACAAATGATCCAGTAAACAGACTGTGGTTAACAACCATGCTCAGGAGAAACACAGAAAAAACACAACTTCCTCCCCTAAAGCTCAGTAGTTCTGCAGAGCTGACAAAGTAAAAGGAAGCAACACTGCCATTTTTCTTTTAATATCTTGCTCATCATTCTCCTATTTTTATGCAGCTGCTTCTGAGAGACCCTTTATTAAAGCTACTTTCTTCACATTCACACCATGCATTAAAAATAAAAATCTCTCATTCAACATCTGAAAAACAAGAGAGGTAATTGATGCATAAAATCAATATTTTCCTTTTATATTAGTGAAACCTACTTACAAATTCAAAATGTCTTTCCATAACAACAAGTAAGTGTAATTAAAATCGTCTACAGTTCAAAATGCTGTACTATAAACCAAGGTCTTAATCTAGACATACACTGATATTTAGATACAATATTGTATTAAGAATTGAAATACTGATGCAAATACAAGCAAAGTAAGTCAAATACCTTTAGCCTCCAATTATCTCCAACTTCTGTTTTGATTCTGTTCAGCCAGTTTTCATCAAAGTAAACTGGATCTCTGAAATACAAAAAAATAATTAAAAATTATTACTTTTCCATGTATTATGGATCCCTACTGCTTACAGCTGCTTACAGCTATTCAACTTTTAATCAAAAAGCTTGAGGTTGAACAATACATGTGATGTCTTGTATAAGTGAGAAGAGTTAAAAAGTATCACTGGAATATTTACTGCTGAGAACACACTTCACTATTATTTCATCTACCAAACACAGCACTGGAACAGGGTGAGGCTCCAGAACACCTACAATACATTGATAATATCATTGTGTGAGGCAACACAGCTGAGGAAGTTTTTGAGAAAGGGAAGAAAATTATCCAAATCCTTCTGGAGGCTGGTTTTGCCATAAAAGAAAGTAAGGTAAAGGGACCAGCACAAGAGATCCAGTCTTTAGGAATAAAATGACAAGATGGACACTGTCAGATCCCAATGGACGCTATTAGTAGGATAACAGCGATGTCCCCACCTACCAACAAGAAAGAAACACAAGCTTTTTTAGGTGCTCTGGGATTTTGGAGGATGTACATTCCAAATTACAGCCAGATTGTCAACCCACTCTACCAAGGGACCCAGAAGAATGATTTCAAATGGGGCCCTGAACAATGACAAACCTTCGAACAGATTAAGTGAGAAATAGTTCATGACATAGGCCTTGAGCCAGTTCAAACAGGACAAGATGTAAAAAATGTGCTCTACACTGCAGCTGGGGAGAATGGCCCTACCTGGAGCCTCTGGCAGAAGCATCAGGGGAGACTTGTGGTCGACCTCTAGGTTTCTGGAGTCGGGGA